AGCAAGATGCAACAGCAAAACTTGAACACCGAAAAATCATTCATTTAAAACTGATTTTTAAGAAGCAGCCACCGGTTAATTCAAATACCCAAAGAAAACACAAATATTAATACAGAAAGGGTGAGTAAAAGATGGAAAAGTTGGACATCATTTAACACATATTTCATAAAAAAAGACAAGCAAAAATGAGGCAATTGTTTCACTGATGATCCGAATAAATTTGCGCGATAAGCTGTTACTGTCAATATCAAGTTAACCCACTTCGATTACCGACTCTTACCAACCCAGACTGTTTATTGTTTCCGTCCAAACTACCGAACTTTTTTTTGTGGTATAAAGCAACATTAGCACGAAATCGATTTCACGGGACCCGTGCATACGCTCCTAAAATTCAAGCAATTTCTAGATTTCTCCATTCATTTTTCATTCCTGGCAAATAAAGAAAACAAGTCTGCAGCGCCAAAACCGTGAATCCAATAATAACTTTTGTACCAATTCTTGCTTCACCAGAAAGAATCCCCCCTGATAATGTATTTCTGACCGAGCAATAAATATGCACAGGACTCCGTGGAAATCATGACTGCCGGAAAAAAACCCGGGACTAAAAACCCTTTACTTTTACCAGCGAAAAAACAGGCAGCACAAGATATGCCGAATATTTTGCTGGAAAAAAATGAGTGAAGACGTCCCCTCACTCACTTCTTCCGACAAAATATTAAAATTTCATTAATGACTGATATCTCTCCGAATTTAAGTACCTGAAAAACCGGACAAGCGCAAATAGCTGAAAAATATGAGAGCTGAACAACCACTGGGAAATGGTCCTAGCACAGACTCGCGCTTAAGAAGCTTGACACTAAATTTCACCTCTATGACCAAATTAGTACAATGCTGTGAGGGTCTAAAAACACTAAGCGCATCTGAGTTATTTTTGAGGTAGTTTTTACCCTCGGACTTCTTTAAATCAGTGAAACCGAGAACAGCGTATTAGATATCACCAAAATAACTGCGGGCAAGCACCTCGTGATGATCATGCAGTAACTTCACAACTCGGAAAATCAAAAAGAAAAAAAAACATGTGCACCAAGAAAACATACCGGGAAACATACATACGTGAAACATAATACGTAAAAACGGAACTATCCAATTTGGGGCACCCAGTGATCTGCCCACACATAAAGATTCCTAGGCTGTATAAATTCACAGGCTTTAGAGGTAAATTAACAAAGAAATCATCCACCGTATAAGCAAATCAATGGAACCGTTTTGATAAGGCCAATGCAAATCATACCTTTGGCGAAACTAAAATATTTCGATAAATCCTGAAAACCCATCTCCAATTTCAGAAGAATATGGCCCCGCGTGTAAAAGTTTGAATTTCGGAAATTTTAAAGTACTGGCAAACGTGCTACATTCATTTAACGCAACAGGAAAAACCAGCAAATATTCAACAACTTTAAAATTCGTTCTAAGTTGCACTGTTAAACTCACAGGAGAAAAATAAGCCAAGTACAGGGTCGGTAGTCTTCCGCAGGGTAAATAAACCGTGTTGGACCAATAATATTCAGCTGTGAAATTTTGAAAGAACAAATGCTTTAATTAGATAAAAATATCACAACGTACCAAGGGAAATAATTATTTTGCTAAAACTTTTTTCACTTCAGATCAGCCATTACCCTGTCCAGCACCTCCAATTTCACAAATGGCTAAAGGATAGTACGCCTTACGTTTGGCAATTCGTCGGCAGCAAAACCTTGAACTCACTGGAGTGAATCGAGCACCTTCATTCAATCAGCAGCAATGTACCTGAATGTCTGAAACGACAACAACCGGGTTCGCACAACTACCAGAAGCCAAATCGATGAGAACTAACAGATCAGCGGGTTACACGCAATGTGCATAAATGGATGCTTCGGAGCCGGCTGAAGAGTGGGAACAGGGGACGGACTTGGTCGTGTTAGCAGCTGATCGGCAACAACACTGAGACCCGAATTGAACACCGATATGAAACCCGTCAATTGACGCTCTCCCAGGCAACACTTCTTAGCACCACACGGTGATGGAAGCCGCTGAGCTGATGTTTTCCGCTTTCGCCGACGACGATGACTACTGGCAAGGGAGTGCAGTCTCTTCTCGGAAATATCCTCGCTGCCGGAATAGCCACCGTAGTCCTCCTCATCACTGCTGCACGATGAGCTGGCTTCTTCGTCGTCTGATGATGCAGATTCCGAGGGAACTGCGGTGGCATCACCCTGTTTTGTTTGGCAACAGCAATTATATCTGGAATCGCAGTTCAATTCATGGGATACAACGCTTCCGCCACAGTTCTGCTTTGCTTTCTCCTCTTCTACAGCCTGCGATGAGTTTGTCCGTTCCGGGAAAAATAAGTCAGGAAGAGGCGTCAGTTCGGCGTATGAATTTTGACGCGCTGCAGCGGGCTCCTCCATAGCGTACATTTCGGGGCCTTCGAATGTATACTGCAGTGGAGCAAGACGAAGCGATGAATAATCAAATTCGGTTCGTTCCTGGTTCATAAGACTGTTGCCATCCGAGCTACTTGAATGTATCGGCTCACTGCTGAAACAATAAAACTTTTTAGTTTCTGCTAGATAAATACGTGAGCTTTTAATTCTAAACTGATTCTTCAACTTTTGCTTTAATTTAATTTTCGAATTTCACTCAGTCACATCAGTTACTACACAAATTAATTTATCCGGTTTTTGCTACTAGATTTTGAGAAAAAAAAAAAAACACGGGGATGCATGATGCTAAAAAATGTGCACAAAACGATGAATGGCGAACGGTCGCTACAACAAGCTGATGATAATCGAAAAAACTCCGCCAGTTTCTTTACGATCAAACAATGGTGAATCATTGCTGTTTGTACAACCACCTAGTCATGCTGCCATCTCAATTCTTCCCCTTTGAGAAGAAATTTCACAGTTCACAACCCCCTTCCTTCAAACAGTGAAATTGCTAGCGAATCGATTACACAGAACAGGTTTTGTCATCCATTCGTTTCTGGCCCTCCCTGCAACGCGGCAGTATCTGTCTGCCTCAAAGATGGAATGGGAGACCCAACCGTCTTTCGCCCCAATCACAGCGTGCTGGCACATGCAATTTTAAACCAGAAAGTACGTCCTGCTACGTTCATATGTCACCGATGCACTGGAACTGCCGGCTTCTTTTTCATATGCATTAATTTTTAACAAAATTTCTTTTTCGCATCGTTCTTCCTCTCACACACTGACAATGTTTGCCATCGTAACAATTTCTGCCAAAAATTAGCAGGTTTTCGACACGAAAATTTAAAAAAAAAAAGTGGAAAAAATAATTCTACATTTTCATAATGCTTATGAATATACTTATATTCGCTTAAAACAGCAAATTAATTTCATAATCGCAAATTGCCATAAGCCAAAAAAGATGGTTACGGTTACTCAATATGCGTCCATCCCTAATATTACCATTTGTAATGTAAAAATCCGAATCAAATCTGCAATCCAGCAATAGTGATATTCAAGCCGGACGACTATTTTGAAGTCTGACGGTCATTTCAGTGTCAATTTCTTACAATATAAAAGATCTGGGGAATTTTTTAGTTATGCCGTGAAGATGACTCGTGCAGAACCCCATCCATCAATCAGTTAACAGAGGGCTACTAACAACAACTTCATAGAAAAAATCAAAAGTACAATTAAAAAAAAAAAAAAACCATAAAAGAAACAAGAGAGGAAACTAGAAGAATCTAAAACAAATGAAGCCATCAGCGCTAATACAGAAATCGCACATGTCGATACTAACCTAGAATCCTGGAATTGTCACATGCCAAGCAGCTTATGACTGCAGCGAAACCCTAAAAAGCGACGGTACGAAAATAAATTTTAATAACTGGCCAACACACCGACTGCCAGTGCCAAGACACGTTTTTTGCATAGTTCCCCGCAGCTTTTGCCGCTACCGGCACCGGTTATCCCGGCAAATGCTTCAAGCTAGAAAAACTGGGACTGGCCGCCAGGATTTTCAGGAAGCATCCGTTTAAAATTTCACCTTTCTAGTTTTCCTGGTTCCCGAGTTAGTAACTTAACCAAAAAAAATCTGGCGAGTACCAAACATACCCGAGGGGTGAGTCTGAACTCATTAATACCTACTTGGACAAGGAACACCCCTTCAAAATTCCAGTCTTCTAGCTTCTCAGGGCTCGTACGTGGGTACCACGCATGAACGAGGGCTGGTTTGAAGTTCACTAGGACTTACGTGGATGGGGAACACCCCTTTAAATTTTCAGCTTTCTAGTTTTTCTGGTTCCCGAGTTAGCGACTCACCCGCAAAAAACTTTCACGTGCCCGCACGTGGAGTACCACGTGGATAAGACCGCCCATTTTGGGGATGGGGGCCCGTACATGCATATACAATAAGTTCTCAAAGTTTTAGCCTGTCGCTTTTGTAGGTTCCGAGATGAAAAATCGGTACATACGAACGAGCAGACACGTTTTCTGCATTGCATAGGTACAAAAAAAAACGCATAAAAAAAGAGCTGGGAAAACTAAGGCACATTTTTGCAGCATTTTCTAGAGAAGTAGTACCTTCTTGATAGATCCAAAAGATGAGTGGCCTGGCCCTCATCCTCATCCAATTCATCGTCTTCGCTGTCATCCATGCTAACGTCTACATAACTGCTGTCTGCATGTGTTGCTATAGCTGGTGTATTATTTGATGCGGGAACACCAAATAATTCGCTTGTTGGTAACGCCGATTCGCTAAACATTTCCATATTTTCGCTGTATAAAGGCGATCTGTAAATTCGAGAATTTTGGAATTTTTCCAGAAATTAAGTTCCTATTTTATTTTAAAATGAACTAGATACGGTAAAGTGCACCCCTCAGAAAAAAGACGAAAATTCATCATTTACACAAAATGAATAAAGCGGACATCAAAAAATGAATTCGCAAAAGTATTTCTTCAAATTCATTTATTCTGCAACTACGTCATCCTGAAAATACGGTAAATGGAGGGCTGCATTCACTATATCAGAGAGCTCAGGATGAAATCGGGAAAACTTATAACTTTATTTTAGCGCTTTCCTAGGCCACCTTAATGCTCCTGCACTTGATTCTAGCACATGCCCTGGTCTTCCTTTTTTTTTTTCACAAAAATTAACCTCTTTTGTTCGTCGCGTGCCTTTCTTAACAAATGCAAGATTAAGAGATTCCTATGGAGCTTGGCACCGCCTCGTTCACT